TTTTTTCATTTTTTGAACAAATAAGATATTTGTATTGCATTCACGTTTAAGTTTATGAGTAATTTTAACCGTATCCTCTGCTATTTATGGTAGCTTGATGGCCAATGTATCCTATACAATTAGTTTAATTTTTTTATTAACACGTTGATTGGAAAATAATTATAATTTGTGACATAATTACTAAAAAATAATTATAATTTGTGAGATAATTAACAATCGAATAAAAATGTTCAGTAGCTCAAATAACTAGATAATAGTGTAACATAAAAATTGTGATAATGAATAATTAATAATTCCTCCTTCTTATCTTTCCTACAAAGAAATAAGTAATAAAACGCTGAAGTTTTTCGTGACAGTCAACATATTAATTCAAACTATCAAAAATTTCCTCTCCGAATCGAACAATCTTTCCCCTTCTCTTTTTTCGTATCATCCTAAGAAACAGGGACGTTCCGTATGCTCGAATCGAAGAAACCACCCAGCGCATCAAAAACACAGAAGTCCTTGTTCATGTATGCTCAAAGATTTTCTCACGTGCCGAATTCGCCCGCATTGTTGACTGTTTCTAAGGAAACAAGCCGTCGGCGAAGGTGTCGATAACCACACGTCCGTTCCACATGCAAGATACACGGAAGGAGCATCCATTTCGGGACAGTCTAGCGAATGAAACGCACCAAATATCTGCTGCCTTCAAGATACAACATCAAAGAATCAGTGAACTGTAACAGTACCTTTTTTCATTTCAAAAATCGTACACATATCACAGAAATTAATCAAAACACTCTCTATCGAAGTCAACGAACAGAAAAGACTGCAGTTCGCAACGGACGTTTGTCTCTTTTTCCGATAGCCATCTTCTTCTAGCGAAGAATAACAATATTCCAATCAGAAGAAAAGAAGAAAACAACTTTGCAAATTGAGGACTACAAAAATCAGTTGAACAATGACGGAAATAATCGTGACCGAAGCCACGAGCGCCACAGATGCCATCGATTCGAAGATCATGGATATCTTAAACCCTTCGTTGCACCATCACGATCTCTTGCAAAGCTTCGTGCGAGCTCCTGTCGACGAAACGGCGAGTTCCAGACAATCAGAAGAGTTAGACAATTTGAATAAGAATCCTTCGTCCTTGGGCACCTGCCTCGCGGTGGAGTCCTTAGAGGACGTAGACAAGGAGAGCTGTGTCAGCAACGAAAGGAGGAAGAAGAAGAACGAGAAGAGGCAGCAGAAGTACAAGACGGATAAGTCGTCGATTGAATCAGAGATGAATATCCAGAAGAAGAAGAAATGACGCCGACAAGATAACGGCGTTCGCCGGCAGGAGGAAGTGTACACGGACAAGGATCGAGCTGCTGCGGTGAACATGGGCACCAAGGACATCAAACAATCGTTGAAGATGAAGCAAAAACAAGACAGGAACCTGCAACTTCCGGAGGACGCCGAACCAACCGCTATGCTTGCACTAGGGCTGCGCGAGATGCGTATCGGTGATGTTATGGTCGCCATGAATTGTATCAATAAGGTGTTCATTCATTTCGAATAATTGTTAGATAGGCAATAATGAATTGCAGTTGTCTTCGTTAAATTTATTATATTGTTGCTGTCTACGTGGTAATGATGATACTGATGCTGATAGTTAACATACCAGAACCTTCATTCGAAATTCTTCACGGACGCTGATTAAAATTTAAACTTTTATATTTTTCATTAACAAGACTGAAACAATTCACAACTTCTTCTTCCGAGGATACATATACATATTGTACATATATAAAAATCAAATAGTAACAAACTTAATAAGTTTTAAGTGCTTGTTACTATTTGATTTTTCTTGGTAAAGTAATTGTGAGAGGGATAAAATGGATTGAAAATTAGAGCCTGTACATGGATAATTAACTTCGTCAGATAATGATTGGTGCAAAATACTTGAAACGCGAGGAAATTGTTGGATAAGTATTCTAATACGATACATATCACTTAAAATGGACGAAAGTTGTTGGATGAACTCTATGCTTTCGTAACAATTATCAAGATCACTTCGGCAATCTACTATGCTGTGACCTTGAGATAACATCCTTTCCTGAAATTTCATCTTGACCAAGGAAAATACTAGTGCGTACAGAGTGTCCTCACTTTTTTCAGTATGATGATAAGAAAGTAGATTTTAGGAGTGAAAATAAGGAGAAATATCAAATAAACATAAGCTAAAAGATGTTTATTGGTAAAAATTATATCAAAAATATGAAATAATATTTGATGACATTTACATATTTACATTTATCAATTTTTCGTTATTCCCTTAAAACATTTTTACAGCTTTTCTTGCTCTGATTTGCTTTCTTCTGCATTTTTTTGTAGAATTGTAAATTATAAGCACAAAATAAAGCAGAGGTTGTTTATGTATAAGTTTTACCTCAAACGTAGAAAGTTTGAAATGTTATTTAATATATTAAAGGCAACGTATCTACTTGGGTAACGTTTTATTATATTTAATGTCGTATGTTATTTCCTTTTAGGCACTAAACCTAGAACCAAATGACAGGAATGCATTAATAGCTCGAAGCAAATGTTATCTTCTATTGGGAGAACCAAAGAAAGCGTTGCAAGATGCTGAGAATGCACTGCAATATAAAATGAAAAATGCCAACATGGCGAAAGCGATATATTGCAAAGCTGAAGCTCTCTACCACCTCGGTGACTACGAGATGAGCCTTGTTTATTATTATCGGGGTATGAGAATTCGTCCTGAATACGGACAATTCCGACTTGGCGTTCAAAAAGCTAAAGACGCTATAAAGAACGTATTGCACAAAGATTCGACCATCAACTTGTAAACTTTCAAATAAAACAATATGGCCTTTAGCATGTTTGTCATTTACATTTTGGAAATCACTTGTTGCAGTCTACTTCAGATTGCAGATACCTAACCAGATATCAGATTTTCAGTATTGCATTTCCAAACTTAAAATGTATAGAAAATAAATAATAAGTAATATAAAATATTGTTTATTAATTTATTTTTATTATTTATAAGTAATATATAATATTGTAAAATGTAATAAATTAGTGAATCTTATGATAAGCGCTTAATTATAACTGATATGCAAAATCTGTTTGGTTTTTAATGAACGCTATAAAATTACAGACATTTGACAGTATGAAAGACGTTGTGGGAATCATAGAGATCATATAAGTAGGGTTGTCATTTAATGGAATTATTGATTTAGGATAGACAACATTAAAACCCTGGACTATGCCATTTAAGGTCCAAATATTTTTAAATTGGATACAATATCCCAAAATAAAAATTTGTATAAGTTATAAGCTGTAATTGAAATAAAAACAGAAAGAGAAAATATAGTTGCAAAGATAATAAATCATACAGAAATTCCCCAGATGTCCTCGGATGCTTTAAAAGCTAGGATAAATTCAGAAAATCGCGGACCTATAACAGTTCACTGCACGAGGGAGAAAAAAACTGAATTTTTATATTAAATTAAGTTTTTCAAAATAACACATTTTTGATTTTCATTTATTATAAGTTTTAGAATTATAAATCATTCTTGAAAAAATTCGTTCAACTAACACATGTATGTATATCTGTTTTTGTACTATTAATTTTGTAATATTATTATTTATGTAAAGCTCAATCTTTAAAATTTTAAATAATTATTTATTCAAATAATCATGTACGTAAAAGTTTATGTGATTACTGCCCCCTTAGTGTAAAAATTAAATTGTACCTTAACTCGCATTATAAGTACTGTATAGTTTATGACATTCATCTGCTACAAACTAATGTTCATTAATATACGCAATAAAGAACATGAAATGTTTTAGGTAATTTTGAAACCTGTTTTATTCATTATTTTCAGTACTACTGCTAAGTATAAATTAAAAAGTTGAATTTATTATGTTACAGGTTAAACTAACCTCGTTATTCTTATGATAACAGTCGATAAATGATCAATGTTACCGTTTTATATCTAAATAATCTATGAATTTTAAAATAAGATAAAATAGAAATCTTTCGAAACATTTTTCAGCAGATACATTATTTCATTAAACTTAAGAAGATTTTATAATGGCAGAAATAATATTAAGTGCTGGTGAAAAAACTTATATTCTTCATGGAGTAGATGTAAGCTACTAAATATTTTACAGACAATAATAAAATCATTTGATTAATAGTTTCATTATACATCTATTAGGCAGACTCTAGGAATGACGGTAGGAGACGTTCTGAATATCGTACTATAGAAATTGAAACTAAATTAATGCCACAAACTCATGGATCTGCAAGATTACGTATTGGAAATACTGATATACTTGTCGGTATTAAAGTTGAACTTGATATACCAAATGCTGACAGACCAGATGAGGGGTGTTTAGAATTTTTTGTTGACTGGTATGTAATATCATTAATAGTACAAAATATTCAATGTAAATACATAAATAATAATAATAATAATAATAATGTAATATGAAATAAATGTTTAATAATATAAATATTATAGTTCTATATAGGACTTTTTCATACCAAATAATTATGTCTAATATATTTTTTTATAGTTCTGCCAATGCAACTCCAGCATTCGAAGGAAAAGGTGGTGATGATTTAGCAACTGAAATAAGTAATACTCTCACAGCGGCTTATCAAACTCGTAGTGCTTTTGATTTAAGGACGTTATGTATTTTACCTAGTAAAAAATGTTGGAAAATTTACGTTGATATATTAGTAAGTTAATATGGTTATTAGAACTTAAATAAAAACCTCTTTTTCTAAAAACCAGTTTTGATATATACAAAATTATTTGTTACAATGCAATGTAGGTTCTTCAATGTGGTGGAAACTTGTTTGATGCAATAGGAGCTGCAGTTAAAGCTGCATTATACAGTACTGAAATACCAAAAATTACAGCTGCAACACTTGATGGTGGAGAACCAGATATTCAGTTGTCGGATGATGCTTATGACTGCATTCAATTAGATACAAGTAACTATCCAGTCATTGTGACTCTATGCAAAGTATGTGTATAACACTTTATATTACTTTTTAAATTTTACCTTTTCGTGTTCCATAAAGTAAAAAATTTTTTTTTGTAGAACTATGAATAGTGTAGATATTTAGGGGTTCTCATTTAAATGGGTATATACAATCTACTATATTATTCATTTTTTTAACATTGACATATTATAGATTGGAGAAAATTATGTTGTTGATCCTACTTTGGAAGAAGAAGTATGCAGCGCAAGCAATATAATCATGTCTGTATTACCGCACGGTAAAATTTCATCAATTATTAAATTGGGTTATGCCAGCATTCAACCAAGTACTTTTAATAAAATGTTAAAGGTAAAACAATTATATATTATTTATAACAAAAAATATAAATCACTCAACACAAGATTGTATTTTCAGATGGGTGAAAGTATAGGGTTACTGTTAAATGAAGGCATTATGAAAGCTTTAAGGGAAGAATCACAACTTGGTCGACAAAGGAAAGTATTTGGGTTTCTTAGATAAAGTATTATGCAAGACAACCATATTTTGCTTATAAATATATTTTATTTTACTCAATTACGTATTTTTATTCACCATAATATTTTTTAACTTAAAACCCAAATACAGAAATGTTATTTAAGAAAGATATTATCCTATTCAACATTTTGATGAATGAAGTGAAAGGATATTCTTAACCTTTTGCGCTCAAGAGGTGACTCACAATCACGACTAAATTTGATATAGCAAAATCGTAATTTTATATATTATATTATGCTTTGTATAATGCATTGATATGTGAAATATTGAAATAAAATAGCTTTATTTCTTAATTTATCTAAGTTTCCTTATTAGTTAATTTGAAAAAATGTCATTTATATCTCATTAAAAAATATTGAATGTTTCTACTGACAAACTTTTGACCACAAAATATTAAATATAAAATAATGTGAAACTTAAAATAAAAATAAATTTTCTGTCACATCATTTAATTATTTTTTAGAATAGTAAAACTTATGGTTAAATTTGTTTATCTACATTTCAACATTTTCTAAACATCAAAATACAGATATTATTAAAAAAGGTATTAATGATCTTTAATTGACTTGTTGTACTTCCATTTAATATACTTTTATAATGTTGGCTAATTTTTCAATATTTTAAATCAATAAACATATGCTAAAGAGTGTAATGAAAACAAAGTTTTTCAACTTTTAATGCAATTGTTTAAAATTTTCCGTTTAACTTAATAAATGTATAATATATAATCCAAAACAAATTTTTAAAAAAAACCTTTTAAATTTTTTTAATGTTGAGGAAAATTTTAAATGCTTTACTCTGTATAATTAATAACGCAAAAATTATATTTATTAAGACTATTTCAATACAGCTCACGTAATATTTATAGTTTAGAGTTTTCAAAGCCTAAGGTTGCATATTCATTTGGCTTTTTAATCTTGTAGTTGGGGTAGTTCTTATCCGTTGGTATTAGAGCAGGTTCTGTACTTGTCATGTGCCAACCACCATGGCGTTCCCAAGTCTATAAAAAGGAAATTATTTTAATATTGTAGTTGGTAATTTATGGATTTTACATATGTGTCAATGAAATACAGCTGTGTCTATATTCATGAAAAAAATGTAAAAAATCTCTTCATTAAAAGAAGTATATCTCAAAATTTCATTTTAATATTATTAAAATTGAAGAAACACAATATTTTTAAATTTAGCTTAGCCAATGATTTAACTGCTTATCATCTGGTTGTTGTAGGTTACAGTATGTCCTAATATTTTACTTTATTACTATTATTATAGTTATTGTTACTACCATTATAAACATTTTAAGAATATTTTATTATATTCGGTCGTTTTTGTTGTAACTTTTCATAGATTTAATTTTCTAATAATAAATGTATTAGTATTGGTTGCATACAAAAACCTCAGTTTCCATTTTACTTAGTGTTTCATTACTATGGATATTTTTCAAATAAATCTAATAATTTTACTATCTACACTTCAAATATTATTTTCTCAAATTCAAACTTCTGCACTCGTGCCTTTAGTGCACTTATTATGCCTGCAATATATGTATTCTTATACTGCTATAATTAAAGATGAAACTTTTAGATGTATACTTCTTAATTTGAATTTTTCATACAAGACTTAAATAAAATCTGATTTTGAATTTAACATAGAAAATATCAAATCTAACTGTAATCAATTTAAATACTTTTGTTATGAACATAATTGAAACCTTTTAAAAAGTGGAGTGATTATTTTATTATATCGTACAAGGTTTTATTACTAATTTTTACTCCCAAAACTGTAATAAAAATAATATAAGTATAGTTTACATACCGACATATTATATCTATAATGATACCATCCACAATATATAACTATGATACCTTGTATAGATAGTGATATGACACGACGACAAACACTACCACCAACCGTACCCTACAATCAAGCATAAAAGCAAAGAAAATGACATGAAATATATATTTTTCATGAGAAACAACATTAGTTAAGGACACTACATTTTTATAAGTTTTATCTATTTACCATAACTGGAATCAATATTGTTCTTTCTAATAAATTCATGGGTGCTTTATATAATCGTCGTAAAGGATTAAAAGATGCCTTGTAATATTCAGCTGTATTCAATGGTTCTTCAGGTGCAAGAATCTGACTTTTAAGGTATTTTGCTCTCCATGCTCGTTCCTCATTTGTCATACCAATTAAACGTTCTCTTTCTGAAGCAACTCTACCCGCAATATTTATTGGCTTTACGCCACCGGTAGGAGTAGACATTGTAATTAGGATTATTAACTGAAAATATAAAACAATTAATTGATACAGTATATATTGTTAACAGTAATAATTTTTCAAATAAGATGTATCTTCTTTATAACCTCTACTACCATATAAACAAATAAAATAAATAAAATTTATACTTTATACGTTTACTTGTAACTTATTTCTTATCAATAAATAATATATACATTTATATTTTATAACGATTTTTATCAAGTTTTATAAGTCAATAAGAGTTCAATTTATATATACACTCAAATCCAACATAAATATATTATAAAAGCATCAAAACTAAATCAATTTAAAGTAATATTGTAACTAAAAAATCTATCAAATATTAATTCGCATAAAAATTTACTAAAATCGAACCTTTCGCTTTATAAATTATAATATTACGTCACACGCTGTGTATTATACGTATTACTACAAACTGCCACTTCCACCAAGCATGCGTGCTAAAAATCAACTATTTATTATGTTTTTGTTTCATGTACAATAAAATTGAATATTTCATTTCCATATTTGTTATACATGTAGATGATACTTACACGATACAATATAATATTTTTTATTAGTTATACTAATTAATTCTAATGTATAAACGCTACTACAGTAACCTTTAAACTCTTTTGAAATGATTACTCTGTGTATATTCTATTATATTATAATATTTATGGATAACTTTATTTTTAATACTAAATAATTCGCAATCAAAATTTATAAAAACATAAAAGAAGTTAAAAATATATCTTGTCTTGAATTATTTCTCCTTAAATGAATAAAAATCGAACTGTATAATATAAAAAGTAGTACTTTACAATTTCTTGTGTCTATGGTTAATTATATTATAACTATTCTAAATATCAATATTTAAAAAGGCGATAGAAATGATCCTTATACTATATATTATTGTATATTTAGGTATTAACTGTCCAAGATATTTTTTTTAATAAATAATAATTCGGTACAATAAAATACACATACATTAACAAAAATATTAAAAACTTTTATTAAGGACAGGTAGATATAAAAATTCGTTATACATCGGCTAGTTAAATAATGGAACCATTGCGTTCAACATAAACTGACAAGCTGGTAACTAGAAGGGGGTAATATTCTACTAACAAGGAGAGTGCAAGGCCTTCGGGTCACCGATTTCGTTAAAACTTTGCATATTGATAGATTTGGTTCTCCTGTTTATGAATATATACCATTATAAGGGCAGATATTGAATAGTTGTTTAGATATTCGTTATTAAAAATTTATCAACTGAATAAATACAGTATTAAACAGAATAATCACCAAGTTAAATAACGGCGTGAGGGTAACGTTCTGGAATTGTACTCTGTAGACCAGGGTTCGGTTCCCCGTAGGGGAAGAAAATAATTTTCGATTTTCTTTTATTTATTTATCGCTCGCTCCAGATCTCTTTATTTTTCTCTGGGTCCCACGCTCTTCCTTAGCACGTGCGCTCAGAATCGACTTCGTTCTCGTGCCTGGACTGGATATCTGCACCTCCACTCGCCTGACGGTAGACCGAAGCCAAAGGAAGAGGCCCGCCTGGGCGAAGGGGATGAACATTATTGGGCCAAAGGAGGATCCAGAACTGGAAAGGAGGGGATGCTAGCCGATAACGAACGATACTTTCATCGCAAAAATCAGAACGATTTCAAACCTCGAACGTTTAACTACTTATGAACTCAGAAATAAAACAGGAGTCAAAATTTCCACAACCAAAAGTATTAAGGTTTATTTCACGCGCCTCGAGCAGAGTACCTTAGTACTCCACGGGCACCTTACCTACGTAAAGTTCCCTAAATTTTCCCTAACCGCGAACGGCGTAACGCAACACAATCAAATAAGAAAAAGTACTAGATATGGAAAGGGTAACTTCTCATGAGAGACATGTCACTAGAGTGCCCGCGGGCACTGATTTTAATAGTTTTGAGGTAGATGATCCTATAAAAATTAATGTACATTATACATGAAACCAACAGCTATAAACAACTATAGTTATTTACTCATTTATTATCATATTAAATATTTTTTTTACCCCTTGTTTTAAAATTTAATATCGTTTTGAATTAAGATATACTATTTAATTCAATTGTTTTTATACCCTGATCCGATATTAACGTAAATGTTTCATTATGTTCGAAAAAGTATATGAATAACATAGAAGAATATTTTTATAGACAAAAAAAGTTTATACAAGAAAAAGATCATAATAAATAGCTTCAAAAATCGTATGATCACATCATGGGTTTAAATTGCCGAAATTGATGCCTCGAAAACGTCATTTCGAAGCAAGAGGTTAATAATATGTAAAATTATATAAAAAACTAAATATCGCTTATTAAAATGTTTAAATTTGTATGCTTGAAAAATGTAGAAATCAATATTATTCATTGTTAATATGATACATAATTTATTTTAGATTTTTTAATGAAAATGACACACATGCTCAGACAGAATCTGTCAGTTGAAATGGAGCAGCAGTTTGTTAATAATATATATTCTTGTAATTTACAAATGTATACTTCACCACCATGTGGATATATTAAAGTAAGTGAGTTGCATCAGTGGTGTGTTAATAGATTGAGAGGTAAGGAGGAAATATAATGTAAATATGTATCTATTTAAATTTATAACACGAAATGAAAAATATTATTTTATGAAAATAAACTCATTTCTTCTTCTTTTCACAGAGACTTTGTATCTTAATAAAGATCAAATTTTATTTTATAGTTCTAAAATTAATAGAGCAGATAACAAAGCAAAACTATGACAAATCATCCAAAGACTGTGTAAATATTTTAATTAATGAATTGGAAAATAATGGTATTTATGATTTTGCGAATCTTATACGTACACATACTGACAATACTCAAATAGAAAGAGAACAGTACTTGATAAGAAACGATTGTATCTCACATTTCATGTTAAGATCTGCATTTTCATTTGAACATGATAAGTGGCAATGGTTCTTCAAACAAGAAGTAAGATTATTCAAATGGAGAGTTTCCGTATTAGATAAAGATGACATCTACAAATTTATTAATATCAATAGACTTCGATTATCTACTGTTAGTATAAAATTTATATCTACTACTACTATAGTATATTAGTTTCATATATTAACTTGTTAATTATAGGTATGTCAAGAAGAAAAAGAGAAGATTAAAGAAGATTTACAAATGTGTTATAATGAAATCGAAAATATTGATGACTTAATCTTTTATAAAAGACATTTTACTGGTCTTATAAATCCAGTTAAGAAACGACAAGTATTTTTAAAAGATGGTATTGCTTATGTACCAGAAACAAACATATCGTGGTTTCTTTTTCCTGAATTTAAAAAAGTATTACACAATGGTTTTGCTGTAAGTTTAAAACTATAATATGCAAGTTACATTTTTAAGTATCCTATATTATATTTCTTTAAAAAATATTTTATTTTAGTATGCTCGAGAAATTGCATCAAATGCTTATGGGGATGAAAGGATAACACAAATTCTAAGTATAGTTTCAAAGCGTATTAATATCAAAAGATTCCATCATAATGAACACAGAAAGGTGTTTATTAATGAACTAGATGAGGTATATTTAAAATTTACATAAATTTGTTTATACTTAAAACTAGGATCAAGTCATCGATCTGCTTAGGCCTCTGCGATTTTGATGATTTTCAAATATGTTGTTGAAGACATGATTTTGAACAACTTTTTCGTTTATGTGCTGTTAACAGAAGGCTTTAATTTCCGAGATCGCGAAAACTTTATATACTACTATACTGAATTCTGTTTTTATGAGCGCGTCCGTAAGTAAGCCAAGCATAGCTGTATGTCACCGCATCGGTCCTTTGAGCTCCTCGGGTTACACATGGATACTCTCCTCGTTCAAAGTCCCATGAGTTCTACTGACAATGAGTAGTGGTAGCTTTGAACGTTGTTTCGTGTAATATGTAGAAATGAATCTCACTCAAATAAAAGAAATTGATATGGGTAGGGCCAGTCTTTTTTTTTGGGCGGGAGGGACATATATCATACGAAACAACATTCAAAGCTACCACTACTACTCACAAGTAGAACTGGTAGAACTTTTGTCAGGAGTGACGAAGTGACGAGCGTACGGTTATACTTGTAACCCTTTCACGGTCGCGTTCAGGTATACAGAATTTAGTGCAATAGTAACAAAAGTTTTTCGTGATTATCCCAGAGACTAAAGCTTTCCGTTGACAATACATAAAGAAAAAAGTTGTTCAAAATATGTTTGCAACAACATTCTGAAAATCATCAAAATTGCAGAGGGCTAAACAAATCGACTACTTCACCAAAACTAGATTGAAAGCACTATTAATATTATATTAAATTTTTATTAGCTATCAAGAACATCTTATCCTTTATGTATGAGATTACTTCATACAACGTTAAAAGAAAAACATCACCTCACAAACGGTGGAAGAATTCAATATACTTTGTTTCTTAAAGGCATAGGATTAAGTTGGAAAGATACTTTACAGTTTTGGAAAGATGAATTTATCAAAAAAATTAATGAGAAAACTTTCGAAAAAAAGTATGAATACCACATATTACATTTGTATGGGGAAGTAGGAAAATGTGCAAATTATGTACCTTTTCCTTGTTTTAAGATATTAAATTCTACAGTTGGCTTAAGAGACAATCACGGTTGCCCATATAAATGTATGCAATTACATGTACTTAAGAATGTACTTTCTACATATGGATTGGTTCGACCAGGTAATAAGTATTTCAAATCTCTATGAAAGGCAACATGAAAAATATGTAACAAAAATGATGTATTTTTAACTGTATTATGTATTTGATTTATTTAAGAATATTATAACTGTTCAGACATAGCCTCAATAGTAGAACTTGCAAAAGAAGGATGTTATCTTGATGCGTGTAAAAGATATTATGAAATTACTCACAACTGTGTAACAGAGAAGTGTTTTGAGCATCCAAATGCATACTTCACACATAGTCTTAAATATCTCGAATCTCTGTGTTCAGGTACATTTTATTATTGTTTTTTGTGCTAAACATTTGAATAAAATATTTACTATTTTCTTGATAAATTTGAAATTGAATAACTTAATGCTAATTACTTTTAGACACAGAAGACTAAAATTAAATACCTGGTTTGCCAATGGTTTCCAAAAATGGAATTATCAGGCTAATTGAAAGTGTCATATAAAATATATTCTGTAAGAAATTTATTATATATTATTCTATACTTATTTTTGTAAAATAACTTAATTTAAAAATATGTATCTTTCGCAATGGATTTAAAAAAAAAGAAATTAATAGTTACAATTACTACAAATTACTTAACAAAATATAGTTGATTTAGTTTTTATTTTGATTTTTACTATATATATTAAAGATTAAACAGATAAATATTTTTGAAGTTTTATGTATTACATTAATTCTTATAAACTCAATTATATATTATTAAATGCTTTTATTTATATTTTTCCACAGCCTCGTCTATGACTTTATTAAGTTTACGATTTTGCCAATCAAGAGAAATGTTGTCAAGATGATTGTCAAAATCTACAAGATTCTTATGTTGCCCCGCTTTCAACAAAGAATAGAGAGCATCTGTATGAATTGCTCCTTTATCATATGCTATACTGCAAGAATAAAAATGAAACTTTATTTTTATACAAGTAATAAATAAATTAAAAAATATAAAAATATAAAATTTACTCTATTATGTCTTTGAGTTTCCATTTACCATCCACATACTGCGAGACTCTTAAAGGACTTGAATTCAGACCAAGTGTGATGATTTCCTTATTGTCTATCTAATAACAAAAAATAAATAATCAACAGAATTGAAAAAAAATTTAATCTTATAATATTTACCACAACAAGTAGGCCATTCCCATAATTATCTACAATTTTGTCTGCGATTCTATGAGCAGGTTTATCTGCACTATATTGAAAAGACATATTTAATAATTAACAACATCAATGAAAAATAATACTTAAAATTTTTCAAGAGAAAAATTTCAAATAAATAAATGTTGAATTACCTTACATCATTTATATTTTCATTTGCAAGATAATAACCTGCAATTACTAAACCTCTACTCATAGCATATTGATCAACCTAAAAAAAGTATTTATATGTTCATTATTAATAATGGAATTGATACATAGTCTATAGTGATACTTTTATATTGAATTAATGAATGATTTAGATCATTGTACAAATTAAATATCGATAACAATATAAATAAAAAAATATAGATTGTGATAACATATTAATAATTCTTTTCTTTGTTTTTTGCATAACTTTTGGTTTAAGTATATTTAATTTAAATGACATTATACTTTTATTCTTTTAGCATTGCAGTTATACAAATGACATTGTAAGAATAATACAATTAAGTAATACAATAATTATAATGAATGAAACTTATAAATAATCTATTTGTGTTTTGTTGTGTGAATGATGTATAATCACATATAGTACTGTACAAAATAATAAGACATTACATATTTCCAAATATGGCATGGAGCCTATGCTATTATTTCCTGTATGGGAAACAATCTGTTAAGAAAAGCTACAGAAGAAGAATAAAAATGTTTGAGGTTTTATAAGCATAGAGGGAAAATATAGAAAATGGATATTAGGACTGGACAATAACACACCAAATTATATAATAGCAGAAGAATGCAAGCTAGAAGAGATAAGAATAAAGACAATGAGGAGAGTAATAGCATATAAGGAAAAAGTAAGAAAATTAGGCAAAAAACTAGTAGAAGAATGCATAATGAAAGAAGAAAGAATGGAGAGGAAGGAAAGATCAAAAATAGGTAAAAAAAATAAGAGAAGTTATAGAAAAAACAGGGATAAACCAGAAGAAACTCAGAGAAATAGTAGAAGAAGAGGAAAGCATAATAGAAAAAGTAATAAGTGCAATAAAGGAAAAGGAGACAGAAAGAAAAAAGAAGAAAATAGAAGAATCAACACATAAAAATGTATACAAGAAAATATGGACAGAGAAGAAACCAGAATATTTAAGAGAGGAAATGGGAAACAAGGATACAAGATTGTTAACAAGATACAGGTGTGGCAATAAGATGAAGGCAAAAGAATATTGAAAGAAAATAAAAGAAAAGAGTTGCAAAATATGTGAAAAACGAAGAAAACACAGAGCATGTGCTAATGGAATATGAAAGAACTAGCAGCAAGAAAGGTATAAAAATGATATTGCATGAAAAAGGTCAAGGGATAGGAATACTGAAAGAAATAGGGAAGAAAAGACTGAAAAGGCAAAGAGAGCGAAAAAAACAAATCAAAGAAAAGAAGAAAGCCAAAGAGGAGAGAGATCAGGGGAAGTGCAAAAAATGATAACATATAATAAGTCTATATAAATAAGTTAAGTAAATGTAAATAGATAATAAACTGGAAGTTCGTCTTAATCCGGAAGGGATTATAATAAATAATAAATAATAAAATATTTTCAAATTCCCTATATTCAAGAGTACAATGTAACTATTTTATTAAATGTTTAAAAAAATTTTAATAATATTTAAGTTGATTATACAAGCAGATCATTTTAATTCATGGGTATTTTTTTAAATCAAAAAATTATTGCACAGATTTTACAGTATGGATAACAGTCATATTAAGCAAAAAAAATAAGCATTGTTAATAATATGACCATAAAGTGTCAGTTCATTGACCTACTTTAGATTAATACACTTATCGCTGTTATTACATATTAAGCCATAATATAATATTAGTACTATCTATTTAACAACAATCTAAATATAGTTCTTTCTTTCTCAAATTATACAAATACACGCTTTATCAATCAACGGATGAATTACATTTGCAAGCGGATGAATTACATTACAAAATCCAAAGAATTACATTTCTGTTGTATTCAGATATGACACAGGCTCTATACACGGTACAACAACTTCTACGTAATAATTTCAAAAGTCTGTCAATACTATAATTTTCTAGCTGCAACAAAATGATTGGAACGACTTTACTTTTATCCAATACCTTTATCTAATCCATTACTTGATTTTTATTTAAGTAAATACTCGAATATTGTAAAAATGCAACAAATTTTCACTTCTGCATTTTAAGTTTAATAATTAGTGATGAAAATTTGAAGAATAGGAAATACGCCAATTGTGTTATATTTTTGTCCAAGAAAGACTTACTTACATTTATATTTGGTTGTCTAACATTTTTGTTATATATCATAAAATCCTAAAATGTGGAATGTTCACACTAGAAATGGTACGCAACATGAAAACTGTATAAAATAAATGTTTAGAACTTTTAAATATAAAAAATTTAGAAATATGTAAACCATCTTATCATTTTGTTCAGTACTTTATATGTTTATTTATTTAATGAAATGTATTTGTTACATTTGTATTATTGAAATATGATTAATAGAAAGAATTCTATTTCTATTTTATAGTTGCTGTTATTAAGTAGAGCAAAACTAAGCATTTTAATATTTACCGTAGTTAGGGCGATTTCTGCCATAGGCGAAACATGAAGGCAAATGTGAAACAGAGGAATCGCATCCTCAATACGTAATTCTACAGATTTGCTATCGTTTTTACTCTTTTGTTTCGCCAACAATAAACCATTTATTGCACAATGAGGATACTTAGCTGCGTGTAATATAATCTTAGAGTATGCACGACTGGAAAATACAATATCTGCCATATTGACGATGATAAATGTAACAACAAATAATTAATCTAAACTAGTTTTAAAACTAGTTTTAGATTAATTAGTTAGTTTTCCTGACACACAAAACTGCAGTGTTATGTTCTGAATGTTGGTTAGTACGTATAAAGTAGACGATTTCAAATTTTCTCATGGTCGATCAATAGACAGAACAGGACCGGCTAACTGTTTCCAGGTTTCCAGAGGTCTATTAGGAAATAAGAAGCTTCTTTTTCTTTAACAATAAATCGTTCACTATAATGAATAAATTATAAACAATTAAACATATCTAAATTACCGCATAAATAGAAGTACAAAAGCACTCAGAAATAATTTATATTTTTTACTCTAAGTTTAGTTTACAGTCAGTATTAAATTCTGTACTATTATTAGAATCATACAAATTTACAATAAATGGTTCTACAATCATTTGAATTATGCTGTCTAATCGCAAAAATTAATATTCAATATTAATGGTGACGTATTGAATAGATTTCAGTTCATTTTTTTATTTTCCGGGCATATATATTCTTTTCGAACATTATAGACTGTTCTAAAAACATTACAAAATTATGTTTTTATTTAATGCTTTCATACAAGTCAGGAGTGTCGAACTGGAAACTCGCGAGCTTCATAGTGACTTTCCCCTCACGGATAGTTATCTTCTCCATACCAACTTTCACTTCTTTGTATTGACACTGCATAGAACTGCTTCACGAAACATAGTTCGGTGAGCTCCTTCAGTACAGGTAGTGGGGGAACGTTCTTTTCGGGTTACTAGCGTAAGGGGAATAAGTTAAACATCTTTGATTTAAATAAATTATGCCTAACTAACATTACATGCGGTAAACAACTCTATGCTCTTTGGCGTTACCGTATGATATCTACAGTGATTGCGGGGGTTGTTGAAGAATGCCCGCTGATAATAAATGGAATAGTGGAAGGAGAAGGTGGCCTGGAGAAAAAAATGACCGCTTTTCTTTGGCTTCATCGGCTTCACTGGCTCTACCTACCGTCAAGTGCTGAGAATTTGGTACTCTCATCTGATTGGTCAGATTCGGTTCTAATTATATGATTCGCTAAGGCGCTTACGCATAACCAATCGGGTCGTACAACGAAGAGCGTGAAGTGATGTCCTATGATGTTACGAGTGCCAGTTCCCAGCATTTGAGGGCCTTGTGTAGTGTTCAATACAAACAGATAAAAATAGATATGGAGAGGGCGTACTCTAATCAACCAGGCCATAAGGGAAAAGACCCTAGAAAACTCATGTTTAACACCCTTGATTTAAACCATTGTACTCGAAAGTTTTTCACTAGGTATATTCAACAGTTTCCGATGAGATATAAACGATATTCTTTTAAACTAATTAATGAGCAAGCATACATTAAATAAGTACGCATAAAACATACTCCAATAAAGCTATTTCATGTCACATATTGATGCATACAAAGCTTAATATTATATATAAGACTTTATAATTTTGCTATAATAAATTAGGTGGTGGCTGAGGTTACCTCTCGAATGTAAGGGGTTAAATATACGCGCCAATTATTACGTGTCTTCCCACGTCATGTTAAGTATCTGTAATACAAATGAAAAATAGAAAATAGTTTATTTTTACTAATAAACTTAAATTTGTGAAAAGTCAAGCATGACACAAAAACAATTCGAAAGCTCTATAATTTGCTTAAATTTTATATAACAAAATTTACTGTAAGAATAATCTATACCATATCTTAAACTTATTCTGTCAACGTATTTTATTGACATAGTTCACATCGACTATACTTAATGTACAAATATTCAAGACATATTTTTGTTTGATATAAATTTATTAAGAAAATAAATTGCACATTCACAAAATGTTATTAATAATAATCGCTATTTCTATAAAATAATTAGTAATATAAATATATTTAATAATTTTTTTAGAATGATGTGGCAACATCGCAGTCGTAACGTTCACCAATCAAAAGAAGTTTGTTCCTAAGTGAATCAACCAATCATAGACTTTGACGGATGCACCCATAATACACCGGATATGACGCCTTGGTGGGGGGGGTAAGTCTTCTAGTAGATTTACTTCGCGTCTTCGCTCTCTTCGTTATTGGACGCCATAGTGAACACTTCGTTTTAGAAAACGGTCGGGAGCTGTTCAAGCTCGTTACTTGCGAGAAACTTGTACTCTTTGTACGTAGCTGTAGAAAGGAGTATACAGTCATTTTTGAGCGAACAATGGCCGGAGCCGATTCACCAAGCGTAAAACAAGAGCAGCAGAATGCATCTGCAGAAAATAGTAACGATAATCCACGAGAACGTAATCCACCGGGCGGCGGTAATCGTGGACCGCGTGGTCGAAAAGGTGGAACACGTTTTTCAGGCGGACGCGGCGGTGGAATGGGCGCAGGAAACAGAAATAACGATGGACCGGTAAGAAAATCTTTTGCAAATATAATTTATAAATTTTGAAAAGTTTTCGGCGTCCTTTGTTCCTGTCCACCATATTTGCTTTGCAGTGATGCGTAATAATATGATCCGCTTTAAAGTTTTGTTTTTTCAAGCACTATTTGTTTAGTCTCGTTAAAAGGTTTTAGCCATGAATGTTGGCTTGTAACGTGACTTTTTGATATATAGAAAATTAATAATTTACGTTTTTGTAATAAGACGTGGATTATTTATATTTATATTATTTTTTTGTCTAATAAGTATACAATTTACTATTTTGGATT